TCACTCAGTTAATATGAGTTGATACTTTTCGGCACTTTATGTTGTCAATCATTACTACTATTTTCCAATCACTTCGCGGTACCATCCTGTCATTTAGACATTTTGCCATTTACGCATCTTTTAAGTATTGCGTATATTTGAGGGTGTGCATTAGTTAATGAATGGAAATTGCTTAAATACGATTTTAAAGTAAAATTTCACCGTATTTGCCGAGTTAAGTGTGGTTGAAGTTGGGATTTTTGTCATTAACATAGCAAATTTCAATTTTTCTAAGGGTTTGGCAAAGGTGCTACATTAGCTTGTAATATAATAGAATGTGAGACTCAGGCCATTTCCAATCGACTAATATGTTTTTCAGCAATATTTATTTATATCAAATGGCAGGCGTTTTGATGGTTTTCATTATCCCTTTAGCTGACTTCGGACTTCACAGAAAGGAGGAGGAACATCAAAGTGACAAAATGAAGAGAGGGGGGGGGGACAGAATAGTAGTTCACAGATGTAAGAGATGGGCAAACACAGAGGCAGAGAAAGGTAAGATGAGTACTATGGAAGTAGTCTAATATGACATACAATCGGGTCATGGTAGTTTAAACTCAGCAGTCAACTGCCAGGTAATAGACTTTTTTGCCGTATGAGTATACGTTGCCCAGGGTGCAGCACGTGGAGGTAAGCCTATCGCACGCACCGTTTTTCAGCAATATTGAGTTATGCGTTTGAGAGTGTTCTTTAATTGCCACTTTCTATTGCTTTTCTCCCTATTACTGAAATAATATGCGTAAATAACTGGTAGTTATGTGCGCTGTTTACGTTCTTTTATACAACTGTTGTTGTTAATCTGGGGGCGACAGCGAATGAGTCATGCATTTGTTGCTGTGTTAGCCTCGCCCCAAGGTGCGCAGTATTACAATAGTTAAAATGTAGTGAAAGAGGGCAGAACCTACGACCTAAATTGTGTAACGCACATATACACAATCTGCACTCACTTACTTCTATTTGCATATCTTTTCAACCTCCTTCGTTTACACGCATTACTCGTATCCAAAATAAAAACGAGAGCCATTTAAATTACTTGGCTCAATACGTTTTCAAATATTGAAGCGGAACGAGCATTGTTTGAACAGAGCTACTCTTGCTCTTTGTTACAAGGTCCCTTGTCAATTAATTATATTTTATTCAACACCCCTCCATCCACCAACCTCAATTTGCGCCATTAGCCATTTCGACCACTCAATTAACAAATCACTATTCTTGCTTTCCCATATACTTGTGGGCAGATGAATGCTGCGTTCTTCTGTTAGTTCTGGATGACTGCAACAGAAGAATATCACGAGTGTGTGCAATTTCTCATATCACATGCAAACACATACTCAGTGGTGTTTTAAATAGTTAATAGCTGCCTTTTCGTGGTGATAACTCTTATTCTTCTATTCATAACACCATAACATTTGGAACAATGATTTTCGGAGAAGTTAGAATTTTTATTCTATTTATCTTCCTTCATTTGCTAATATATATCTGTCCCCTTTCTACTGAATTAATTTTGTGGTCAATGGTTTCTCCAAACTCACTTATTCGATCATTCACAAATTGTTCGGTTTTTACTTCCTTATCTTATTTAGGCAAATTTTTAGGTCCCTGTTCCAAATTCCTATCCATAATCCCTTACGATTTTTCCTCGCCATAATCACAATTTACAAGAATAAATTTTAGAATCTCCTAACTCTGTATATTCTTAATCCTTAACAAGGTGATAGATCGAGTAGCCATGCCTCCTTGTAATATATCTATAAAAGTTTGCATTTATTTATTATAAAATCCAATTTTAAAACCGTGACTTCCTTGACCCGTAAAATGAAATGGCCCATTAATTTATGAGTGTGAATCACTGCTTTTGCACAACTTGGTTGGCAGCTGCCAAAGCCAATGAAAATGTAGCTTTAATCTGATTGGTTAATTTAAGTTATAACGCACCACACAACCGTTTCTTGAGAGGGCACTTATATTTGGACACATCTGGTGGCATGTGCGCTGTTGTTCCGTCTCGCTTCATACCCTCGCGGCCTTTTCGATGAACCGGCATCACCTAAAATGATGCTACTCTTCCTTCTTTTTGCACTTGTTGGGCGTGGCGACGCTCTTTGTTCATCTGGGTGCTATTGCCCATCTGACGAGATAGCCCATTGTTGTCTTTTTCCACCCGATTTTCCCTCTCCCGTTCAATGCAGTATACCGGGTCGGCGTCAAATTTCAGCTAATGCCAATTTAACTCTTCGATGGCCTGTTATGGATACTTGTTTAGCAAGGTGGACTGATCTGTCTGTTCAACTGGAACCTGGTTCTTGGCCACCACCCAGGCCTAGGCGACCATGTACAGCCCTATTGCGTCGCATTACCATCTCTGGTGGTGGTTTGATTGTCCTCAAAGCCCAACACTTCCAAACACTCTTTGGTAATCAAGAAAACCAGTTAAAATCGATCACAATAGAGAATACTAACTTGGAAAACTTGGAACAAGGTCTATTTGATCGTCTTTCACTCAAAAGCCTAACGGAAATCCATATTCGGGAAAATCCTAACCTTGGTTATAAGGGCTTCGGAGTGTCTGTTTTTTCAAGTCTCCCTCAGCTTGAAACCCTTGATCTTAAGGGTAATAGAATTGAGCATTTGGACTTCGTGCGATGGGGTTTCCCAGTTATTGATAAAGGCAAACCTCCAAGTCGACTTATCAACTTAAATTTGGCTAATAATAGCCTGACTTTTATCAAATCTGGGACCTTCGTTTTGTTTCCTTTCCTGGAGTCTCTATCACTGGCAAACAACCGATTATCTAGTCTCTCCTCAGATGTATTTGAAGGTCTTTTTAGTCTTAAACAACTGGATCTATCTGGAAATTTATTGAATCTTATGGAACTTAAAAACATGCCAGCTTTCAGTATTACTCTTGCTAACCTCAACATCCTTGATATCTCGATGAATCCGCTTATGCGGAGCATTTATACTGAAAATGTGAAATGGTGGTTGTCCTCAGGTTGTCCAGCGTCTCTTACTCATCTCTTTATGAATTTTATCGAAGTGGATCAGGGACAGGATTATCCCATTCTTCCACCTATAGACTGGAGTAAGTGTGCCAAATTAGCACAAGTCAATATCCAACAAATTCCTCGGTTGCCTTGTCTTCCTTCGTCCTGGCTACGGTCTGACGTTTTTCCCGCATCTCCTGAGTTTGTCACTTCAGCGTCTAAAGTTTGTCCACCAATAACCACGCCGTCAATCAAAACTACCATTTCCCCCATAATTGCCTCCACCTTGCCTTCTCTTGCAATTAACGCAACTACTAAACCGTTACCCTCCTATCCAACTGGTGTTCGAGAACTTATCGTCAGTTCTGTCGTTGGTGGTGTCCTCTTCATTCTGCTTATTTTTCTAATTATTACGGTTTTTCTTTGTCGTCGGCGACGCTGGATGTATGGACCTGTGGGAAAGGAAAATGGGAAACCCGGCCGTATTAGTATCGGCTCACTTAATAGTGGTCTATGCCAGAGACCTCTGATTGCTTCAACTTACATCCCTGCTTCTCCAGACTGTCCATTACCCATTTCAGACGGTGATTGTGATGACGGAGATCTATCTGCGAGTTCAATGCGACCATCAGAGTCTCGCATCCTTTATGATGAAAGTGGAATTCCTGTTTGTAGTATGGTGGTGCCTGAGCCTGGTTCTCCAACCGTTGTCATGCTACCAGATGGAACATTGGCACTCACACCACAGTTTATTCCCTTTTCAGGGAGGGCAACTCCTTCCAGTCATACAGGGCTTCTAGATAACTCCAATTATCGCAATTCTCGACTGTTTCTTAAACATCCCTTTATGGTCCCACTCATGACAAGTCATAACTCTCTCGCAAATTCGCAGATTGATTTTCTCCAAAAACAGTCTCACTCGCAGCACTTGGGAAAGACTAGAAGTCGTCTTCATCAGCAAAATGGAGGTGCAGGTACTGTTCGGAATCAGCCTCCGAATTCATCGCTCTCATGCAAGTCTACTTCCTTTTCCTCCCTCGGAGGTTCAGTCCACTCGGAAATTCATCCTCTAAGTAGTAGTGTATTCAGAGCCAGTCCACCGCCTCTCGACCAACTTCCACAAACCAAATCCCCCTCCTCCCCATCGAATGCCTCAATTGAAGATGAGGAACCCTCTTTAATGGTCGAGACTACTGCTGTAACAACAATGGCATCTACGAGTATGTCTGCCGCAAACCCCCTTAACAGTCAGTCCGATGAAACTGCTTCTTAGGACGTCCTTTAATTCTCTTCCTACTTTTATCTCAATTTTCTCCTGCCTCCTCCCTGACCGGAGTAAATACATCTATATCATAAACTAACATTTACTTTCTCCTTTTTCAGAGTAGCTAGTGACCTCTTAGGTGCTTTATGCATACCCAGAGTATTGGGGATAGTTTAAATATCCCCCCTTCACCTCGGAATTTATGAGCCCATTTATGGGTCTTAACATCTGTTATTGAAATTGATTCCGGACGATGGGTAGTCAGAGGTGAGGTCCCACTTGTTTCGCAATTACTAATAGGCTCCAAACTAGAGTATTTCATTTTCCTTTCAGTATTCTTCAAAGCCTTGCACTTCTGTAGCCCAATCGCACCTAGGCTAGACACTTTTACTTGAAAACTAGACTGGGCTAGCGTGCTTTTTTGAATCAGTAAATTCAACCTCACGCCCAATTGGCCCTCTTGGTTTGTCTTGGCTCCGTATGGTACAAATGCCATTTTGTTTTGGGTAGATAAGACGTCCGTTTAGAATTTGTTGGGCCTCTTGTTTCAATGGTGAGAGGGCATCATGTCAATTCCTTTACTTTCTGCTCCAATGCACGTGTGCTTTGTGTATTATTTTTAGTGCTTGTATGTTACAACGTTAGGAGAAGAATTTGCGGTTTAAGGAACTAACATTATAATTGAGAGCCATTTACTCTTCTCATTCTCATAGTTCCATAAAGCTGCCAGCTGATAGTTATGAACATTAATTAACCAGTCTTCTTTATTCCTACTAAATTTGCTTTCGAATTTCCAAGCGTGGTATGATTTTTTTGCTGTCTGATACACATTTTTACGAATTCTCATTCGACGTTCGTGCAATAGATTCTTGGGTAGTCGCTCATATGTTGCGGCTTTTATTTAACTCGTAAACGTATGGTAACATTGTCTTTGAATTTCTTAATATCAACTAACGGTGCACTCTCTTAGTGTCACTCTTGTATCTCAAGCATTTTAACAAAACATGCATCTTGGACAAGTATATCTGCCATTTTCCGCTTCATATTCAATATCTCTCATTGCACTATGGATAAATTAACGATAGTGATGGCTAGGAAATTCTAGAACAGTGAATTTCTACGACTATTAACTTCATTTCATTCTAAATAGATGGAAGTTGTCCAAATGTGGAGTTAACTCGAGACTAGTCAACTTCAACTGATAAAAGGGTAGATAGTATCTGGCTAATGTATGCGCAGCTGTTTTTTTTGTACCTTCAGCACAAGACTAATAATCAGTCGCACGCGTGTGTAGCGGTTTGGATGGCCTCATACCGTCTGACTGACTCATTCAGTATTCCAGAAACATTGTCTCATATGCGCCCATTTGTTGTTTGCTGTTTAAACGGGAGCCACGCTGAGATTTTTTCTATACGGTTGTTCCCTTTAGAGAGAACAGCTTGCGGGCATAGTTTCTTGCGCAAGGTCTAGCCTCACACAGGACTGGTGCCCTGAAGCGTAAACACAGTCAGGTTTTAGAACGCCTGAATTCCCACTACCTCTTTGGGGGTTGTGTTGCGACATCTCTTCATGAGGTCAACGCCGTCTCCTTAAGCGTTGCACTTAACTAGCCCCCATGTCTAAATTTAAACACAGCGATAATTGAGGTGAAGTGATGTTTCTGCGGAATTGAAAAAGAGAGAGGGAGAGCTTGTTTAGTCCTGACCTTATCAAGAGGTTGTTTACTTAGTAAATTTTATGTTATTTTGATGTGCTAAATCATGGGGGGGGGGTTGATTTTTGTGACTTCACGATTTTTTGTACTTCTGTGCTTACGTGTTGCTCTACGAAAAGCGCTGTACTTTTGTGGACTTTTTATCGTTTTTCTTTTCTGTATGCCTTTCGCGAAGCAGTTTCATACTTGTTCTTCGTTGGATTCATTTGTACGCATCCTCAAAACTTCGCTCACAGCTGTGAAGGCCATATTCTTTGCCATGCGGGCATATGTGGTAAAGGAACCTCAGAAAAACTGAACCTGGGAAGTTATTGTACACCATGGTGTTCGACTTATAATCCTTCTTCGTTTTTCACAATCTGGATTATCCTTCATCTTTTCTCCCATTTACTCCCAGTTGCCCGGTATATTGTTCTATTCCTACTTTGGATTTTGCTGTTCATTAGAGGCTTTTCTCTTCTGTTAGTCTAACGAAAGTCATTAGAACTACAAGGGAATATCTAACTCAATTTGGTTTTGCTCCTAAGTAGCTTTAATTTCTTCAATCCGAATATCTCCTCACATTCATTAAAGTAATCACCTATAGCCATACATGTCACATTCGCACCCAATATCGAACTCCTTTTGCCTCAATGAAGAGTTGAATTTTTTTAAAAGAAGAAGTGCATAGATTGAGTCAGCCATTATCCTCTTTTCATTCTCGCCGTCAGACTACCACGATTATTTGCTAGATGCGAGCGTTTGTTCGCAAAGGCGGTACTGATCAGCCTTCTACGGGTTTATAGCTTGTCTCGCATGCTATGCATTATAATTCCACGTATTTTAATTACATATACATTATGTCATGCAAAGCCTCATTATCTCAACACCTGAGTATCGAGATCTTGAATCTAAATACGAGTTCTTCATTGCCAGTGTTTTAACCTACTGCCATGTGATAAGTCTATTTTCAGTAGGGGTGTGTGATAGACTTACCACCACATGGTGCAGCCTGGGCAACGTATACTCATACGGCAAAAAAGTCTATTAACTGGCAGTTGACTTCAAACTACCATGACCCCACTGTATGTCATATTCAACTACTTTCACAGTACTTATCCCACCTTTTTCCCACCTTATCTACCTTCGTCTTTGATACACTCTTCTGTTCCCCCCACCCTCTTGAATTTTTTACACTTTGATGTTCCTTCCCCTCTGTGTAGACTGAAGTCAACTAAAGGGCTAATGATAACAATCAAAACGCCTGCCATGTAATATAATAATAATAATTTTCAGAATAGTCGGTAAAACTGTTGCGCTTTTTAAGTTCGTTTAATCTCAATTTGAAAATAATCTATGTAGCAAAAGTAAAATTTACTCAATCAATACTATACAGGCGTTCACATCTTTTTTTACCACATGCATGTGACAGTTCTTGAGAAATGCGCTTTTAAGTACCTCCGTCACATCATTACCATAATCCACTTTATGCTGTCTCTTTCTCACATTCACATACACCGCGTCAAAATGCGTTCTTTCGAATTAAGAGTACTTTCAGGTCTGAAAATTATCTACGACTCTATTCACTTGAAAACTGTGTTTGTTCAAACTTAGTCAAATTGCAAAGTAA